ATGAAATTTCCAGAAAAGAGAAACTTCGGAGGAAGAAATACATTGGGGTCATGAGATGGGAATCCTGTAGACAGAGGGCAATGATGGTTAAGTTTCCTATCATGCTCAACATATAATTCAGAAATAGAAAGAAAAAAATTACAATCTGTAACTGAGAATTATCTGTCAGTCCCAGAAGGATAAACTCTATCTGCACTGTATGATTCTCCATTTCTCTTCTGAGACTTCAAATTCTAGAAATAAAAAGATACAAAAATAAGAAACTACATGAGTAGCTTTATAACCAGGGAATGATATATAAAAGCATCCATATTCACAAACAGACCCATTTATAAGGTAATGCTCCGTGATTTTTGAAGATATGATCCAGAACTGTGCAACAGAAACTACTTTAAAAACCACCATTGAAGTCAACTCAGTTTTTGAAATTGACCAGCAAAACCCAAAATAGTCATGTGTGTTTCATCCTTACTAAAAATCTTCTGGTCATTTGTAACTAATTTCAAATGTTTCCATTTGAGAAATAAGTAAGATAAAACATTGGTTTGAGATTCAAATGTAATCCATTCATTTTTTATTATTAATTTCATCAAAATAAAATTATACCAGTATATAATGAATTAAGATCTATAGTTAAATTCTAAACAGTTTTGATTTCATATTTAAGTGACATCTGCTTAGTGCCCCATTGTATCCTCTTGCAACTTCTCTATGAACTACAGATGAATACATAAGAAATTACCAAAAAAAAATGACATAAGAAAAAATAAATACCAGATGAATCTAAAAAATTAAAAACAATATAAAGCAGATATGGCCACATTTAGAAAAAAATAATAATCTATTCAGGATTTCAAAATTTTGCACACGTAACTTAGACCATAAAAATAAAAGAGAAAATACAAAAAAATGCATTGCATTTCTTCACAATCTCCACCCATTTAGAATATCCAGAATCTAAACTTTCTTTCCAGGTGCAGCTCTCTGACAGTGAAAAATCAGTTTTCTTATCACATTGCCTGTGTCCTCATGCCCCCAGCAATCATTCATATAATTAATCAGAGACTATTAATCCAAGGAAGTATTGGCCAAAGGAAAGTGTGTGATGATTTGAATGGGTTTATTTTATGTTTTTAATTAGAGGCTTTAGAATCTTGGATGGCAAATAATGAAAAAAGAGTAAATAATGGAGTCAATGCAAAGTAATATTGGGAGCTTGTTAGGAATTAGAAACATTTTAAAACTGTGCTAATTCACACAAAATCCAGCTATATATCTGAGAAACAAAAACATTAATGGCTAATGAGACAAATAAAATTCACTATCAAGGTTAAAAGTTTGTATATGTCTTTTATAGTTTAATAATGAAATTTTAAAGTTAAGTACACACACACACACACACACACACACACACACACACACAAAATAAAACATAAGAAACAGTGTAAGTGAGGTTTATTCTGGGGATGCAACCAATAAACATGATGTATCACATAAACAAAATGAAGGACAAAAAACATTTGATCATATCGATAGATGCAGAAAACATATTCTACAAAATACAGCACCCATTTTTTTGTAAAAACTTTCAGCAAGGTAGGAGTCAGGGGAACATACCTCAACAGAATAAAGGCCATATATGAAAAACCTAAAGCCCACATCATTCTCAATGGGCAAAACCTAAAGTTTTTCACTTAAGAACAAGACAAGGCTATCAGTTTTCACCACTCTTGTTCAGCATAGTACTAGAAGTCCAAGCCACAGTGATCAGATAAGAAGAAAAAAATAAAAGGCATCCAAATTGAAAAGGCAAAAGTAAAACTGTCGTGATATTGTACAAAGAAAATACTAAAGATTCCATCAAAAACCTATTAGTTTTGATAAATGAGTCTGGCAAAGTAGCAGGATACAAAATCAACACCCAGAAATCTATGGTATTTTTCTGCACCGATAATTAACTCTCAGAAAGAGAAACAAGAACAACACCATTAACCATTGCAACAACAAACAAAAATAAGAAACCTAGGAATAAACTTAACCGAGAAAGTAAAAGACGTGTATTTGGAAAACTATAGGACATTGAAAAAAAAAATAGAGGAAGATGCAAATAAATGGAAGAATACATGTGTTCATGGATTAGAAAAATTAACATCATTAAAATGTCCATACTACCCAAAGCAATCTATAGATTCAATGCAATTCCCATTAAAATGCCACCTCCATATTTTACAGATCTAGAGCAGATATTTCAAAACTTTATATAGAAACAAAAAAGACACCAAATAGCTTCAGCAATCTTGAGGAAGAACAAAGTTGGAGGGATCACAATACCAGATATCAAACTATACTACAAAACCATTGTAATCAAAACAGCCTGATACTGGCAAAAGAACAGGCAAATAGATCAATGGATCAGAACAGAGAACCCAGAAATCAACCCACACCATGTTCTATTAATATTTGACAAAGGAGGCAAGAACATACAATGGAGGGTAGACAGTCTCTTCAATAAATGGTGATGTGAAAATTCAACAGGTATATGCAAAAAAAATGAAAGAAAAAATAAAGAAAGAAGAAGGAAGGAAGGAAAGAAAGAAAGAGGAAGGAAGGAAGGAAGGAAGGAAGGAAGGAAGGAAAGAAATTAGACCACCAATTTATACCATACACAAGAATAAATGCAAAGTGGATAAAATGCATAAATGTAAGTCAGGAAACCATAAAAAGAACCCTAGAAAAAACATAGGCAATAAAATCTCAGACGTCCTACATGCCAGAATTTTTTTGGAAACATCTCCCGGGGAAGAGAAACAATGGAAAAAAATAAACAAATGTGACTATATCAAAAAGCTTCTGCACAGCAAAAGATACCATTCTCAAAATGCAAAGAAAACCCACTGTATGGGAGAATATATTCATCAATGATATACCTGATAAGTGGTTAGTTTCCAAAATATATATAATTTCCAAAAACATATTAATTTCCAACTTAGAAAAAGAAGACAGCCCGATTAAAAATGGGCAAAGTAGTAAATGAATATGCATTTCTCTAAAAAGAACATACAGATGGCCAGTAGACATATGAAAAAATGCTCAGTGTCACTAGTAATCAGAGAAAAGCAAATTAAAATGACAATGAGGTATCATCCCACACCTGCCAGAATGACTACCATCCATAAATTAAAAAACAAGTTCTGACCAGGATGTGGGGAAAAGAGAATCCTATTACACTGCGGGTAGGAATGCAGACTGGTGCAGCCACTGTGGAGAAAACAGTATAGAATTTCCTCAAAAAATTAAAAATGGAACTACCATTTTACCGAGTGATCCCACTTCTGAGAATATACCCTAAGAATCTTGAAACACCAATCAGAAAGGACTATGTGGTTGGACATTAATAATTAACTAAATTCTAGCACCCATATGTTCATAGCAGCACAATTTATAATAGCTAAGATCTGAAAACAGCCCAAGTGCCCATCAGTAGATGAGTGGATAAAAAAAATGTGGTACATTTACACAATGGAACACTATCTATAATAGTAAAAGTATAATATGCTAATTAGACCGGAGATTCGAACATCCTTCTGGACATCATTCCAGACATCCTTCAGGATGAAGCCGTGGCAGCGGAAGCCAAGGCAGAGGTGGTTAGGGGTGATGAGGCAGGCAGGCGAGCATTTAGGAGCCAGCAGTCCTGGATTGCAAGAGGGTGCAGGTCAGGCTGAGAGGAGCACCCCCCCCCCATGTGCACAAATTTCATGCACCAGGCCTCTAGTATATATACCAGTATAAAAACCTAATATGCAAAGTGTGCCCTTGGGAGTTTGACTGACCAGGAGTTCTATCTCTCACTATGACGTGCGCTGACCACCATGATGCGGCGTGAAATGAAGGAAGGCCCTAGCCAGCAGCCAGCAGTGGGGGAAGGGAGGCCCCAGCCAGCAGCCAGCAGCCAGCAGCCTGGGAAGGGAGGCCCCGGGCAGCTTTTGAAGCTGCTAGGGACCCTACCTGTGCATGAATTTCATGCACTGGGTCTCTAGTAAAGCTATAAAAAAGAAGGATATCTTACCCTTTGAGATAGCATACGGGGACCTAGAAAGTATTACGCTAATCAAAATAATCCAGTCAGAGAATGACAAGTATCACATGATCTCACTCATGTGTGGAATCTAATGAACAAAATAAACTGATGAACAAAAAAGATACAGAGATACAGAAGCATGGAACAGACTGAGGAATCCAGGGGAAAGGGGTTGGGTGTGTGTTGTGGGGGGGGGAGGGACATGAAGAGACTAACCAAAAAATTTATATGCATATATGCACAGCCCATGGACAGAATCAATAGTGTAGTGAATGACTCAGGGGGGGCCAGAGCACAGGGGGAAAATGGGAGACATCTGTAATACATCAATAAAAATAAATATATAAAAATAGAAACAGTACTAAATGACTAAGTTAAGAGTTTTAGAAACAAAGAGAGATATTTTTGCAAATTTTACTTTATCACTTATTACTAGTTATATGGTCTTGAGAAAATTAATTTCCTTGTTTTAAAATTTCACCTACAAAAAATAGATAAAATAGTTTTGATCGAAATTATAAAGATTAAATGAGATGTGCACAGAATACACTAATGATTACTAGCTGCTTAATAATCAGTGAAGAGATCAGTACACATAAAAACCATAAATGTGTAGTAATATTGTCGAGGATGTCATTTCATACTTTAACAACCTTAATTAAAACAATAATAATGTTTCTGAGAATAGAAGTACTATGTAGGAGGGCTTTAATAATTAACTAAGTTCTAGCAGATTTTTTTTTTTACTGGAATCAGACCGACACAAGGGTGCTGATGAACCCTATTGTTCAATAAAATTCAAAATCTCTAACCAATTAAACAAGATTAGAAAGATAAATTATAAATTATAAAATTCAGGTAAACACTTGATTGGTAAATAAAGAAGACTTACTTTCTATTGATCTGATCAGACCCTTAAATATCCAATTAACAAATTTGAAACTATTATAACAATAATATAGTTAGTTCACATACTTTTAGAATAAAAAAATAGAAAAGTCTAAATAGTTAAAAATAAGCAATTCTTCAAATAATTTTATTCATTCAGATAATTACATTTTTAAATAAGGACATTGATGAATTTGTATTCTTATTAAATATTCTAGACATATTTTAGATGTAAAATTACA